AACGGCAGCTATGGTGCAGTCGAGGGCATTCTTGCCGCCGCCGTGCTGTATACTTTGATCACGATCCTACTTTCTTGCATCAAGAAGTCAGCGAACCCTGGCGGTCGAGTACTCCGATGGATCTGGGTACTTCTCGACCTTGCATTTGTTGGAGCATTCATCGCAGTGGCTGTGCTTACGCGACCGAACGGAGGTCTCGCTGGTGCTCGTCACTGCTACAGCCCGGAGCGTATTGCTAACGGCAATACTGGTGTTGTTACTGGCGCGACTGCGAGCCGTGATGACAGCTGTAACCTGCCGTGGGGCACCTTCATCCTGGCAATTATCAGCACGTATGTTCTCCGCTGCCCAAATCCCTGAATCATCTGCTAACTGGCTGCCAGACTCCTCCATGCCATCACCGCCTCCTTCCACGAGATTAGGGACCACCGCCGAAAGGCTAGGCTCGAACACGAGAAGGCCGTTCAGCCACAACACACCGAGGCCGCCGCTGATGGCGTCCGCTACTAGATTCTCAAACCGCTCGATGTTCCGTTAGAAAAAAGGCATGGAGGTTGTGAAGCACGAAGGTGTGCCCACACATTTCTACCAAGCCTCACGAACAACACACATGTATACCCATAGTGCATCAGCCCAGCCCTTGATGCATTATATTCTCACGATTTTTCACTTTAGCGAATGGCGCAACTGGGCCGGAGTTTCTGTAGTCATTGAGCGAAATAATTCTGCGTCCAACTAATGCAACACCTACCGTATATTCTACTCGAAGATTTCTATCAGATGGTAATGCCAATTCCGAAGTAACAAAGCTGGTGACGCTATCCATCTCGGTGACCCGCCCACCGGCCTAGAAATCGCTTAACACAGTCTTCTCAAACTCCTCCGCAAACTCTTTTGCTGGGGTGATTGCTCCAAGCCAATACCCACCCCTAGCATCCTTACCAACACACATACCAATGCCCCCTGAGCTTTTACCCCAACCGTCCACCCGTCTATCGTGACCGTTAACACTGATATACACAGGCTTTCCTCTGGTCGGCCTACTAGTCAACCCACCCTCATCGCCGTCATCAGAAACGACAGCAGCGCTGAAATCTGTATCAAACAACGTTGCCTTTGCCCAATTTGAGAACACGTAGGCTGCCGGCCCCATCTGCGGATCCGACGGAGGCGTAAGGTTTTGCTGTCCGTTGCGGCTGGCACGCTGCGAAGCTTCCACCGCCTCTCTATTCGCCTGCTCAACAAGATCTTTGCGAATACGAGCCGCAACGTGACCCAACGGCATACCGACAAACTGCTGTACACTGAACGCCGAAACGATTCCACCTGTGCAGTTTGCAACATATGCTTTTCCTTTTGGAATCAAGACCTCGTATTTGGATGACGAGGTGGATAATACGTCTCGCATGCCCAAGACATTGAGGATTATGATGGGTCGAGCAGGTGGTGAGTTGAGCAGGGAGGTGTCGGAGGAAACGAGATGGCGGATCAACCATGCTGAGAAGATGTCGCCGTCTGAGAGGAAGGGCTTTGGTGCGGAAGACGTTGAGGTATTGTAGGTTATTTGTGAGGCATCGAGAGATTCAAGATCGTGCATTGCTTCAGTTCGCAAGCGAGCCATGTAGGCCGGGGGCATGTAGAGCATACGGCCGTTCTGCGTTGTTGTCGGTCTAAAGAACCGAGAGTAGAGGTATGCGAGCGTCGTTCTGGGGTCTAGCAAGCTTGGAAGCCAGGTCTTGAAGTTTGACATCACCATCCAGATCTGAGATTGCGCTTTCTCTTGCACTTGCGTAGTGCCGGCACTCATACCCTCTGCACCCTGGTTGTCCTCATCGAGAGAAGCTCCAAGCCGCATCAATGGGTCGAAATCGTAACCCCAGAACTCCGGTACATCTTCGTCTCTTCCCTCTAACACTGCCGTCCAGGCTCTTAGTAGAGTTTGTCGTCCCATCGCATCAAGAAGCGTATGTAGCCAAGTCAGGGTGACGAGTGTCGCATCCTTGAAGCTCGCTACATGTAAGCCTAACTGCGCTTCGTCTGAAAAAAGCCAGTCATCAAGGACTGAAGTATTACCCTTCGCACTTATAACCCCACATTGCGACTCTAGAACGCCGAAGACCTGGACACTGTCGTTACGCTCGTTTGCAGTAGGAATCTGGCAACCAAGAGGATGGTCCTTCAATTTGCTGTCAAAAATCCCATGGGTGAAGTTGACTGGCGGGCGCTCTTTGCTATACTGTGCTGGTATGTGGTACTCAAGTTTATCGTTGCTGGTGTTGAGGCGCAGTCTCGCTCCCAACTTCCTCCAACCCGGTTTCTCCAGCAACCTCCATAATGCTGCGACAAGCTTCCGCTCATCAAGAACAGCGTCAAAACACATGGTGAATTCGACTGAAACGTTCCTGTTTTGATGCGTGTCGTCGCGGCTGTGGAGAGGTATGATGGTATCCGTGGGTATGCGAGGAGGAGCGACTCGCTGCCCAGTGAAGTAGTTCGATAGGAAGGACATGTTTAAGAAAGCGAAAGCTATCACTGGGTGCCTCACAGAAGAAGGAGAAGGTGATTTACCGATGTCGTATCAACATTGGTGCGGGCAGATACTTCAAATATATGTCTTGCGTCTAAGCGACGCGAAACCAAATGCATGTGCCACAAGCGATACTTGGGTACGCCCGGGCGGTATCTCACGTGAGAGGTATCGGATAGTCGATTGCCCAGGGCTTGTAGACCTTACATCCGCACTGATGTGTGCCTACTAGCAGTAGGGGTGCCAATCATATGTGCCTTGGTGTAGTAAAGGGCTTGGATTAAGTAGCCTACCGGTTAGTTTCGCATTAAGGCTGACTATACGCCAAGCCTCGCATACCGGTCAGCGGGATCTCGGGAGAGTCTAATCCCCGAATTGCCGGCAAGTAGAAATATACGAAGATACGAAGGTCGTGGCGGATTAAAAAAGTCCGAGAGTTTCCACGAACCGCCTCACTGTGCGACAGTCGCCCTCGCATGCAACCTTATGGTAACTTGGGACTGAGATAGATATGCAACATAGAGTGAATGAAGATGTCGTTTATCATCGTAATTTCATAAGTGCCGTCGATAAGGAAATGTCAATTACCAGGCCCAGTGAAATTCCCAATGAACACAACCAAGATCGCACAGTAGGCTGCAGACGCCGCGAACAGTTCATGCCTTGCCGCCTTGGTCAGCAGACTCATCGCAGCACTGAACAGTAATGTGAATACTATGAGCACACCAACTGCGTTGAATGTATCTCGCTTGTTAATGTCCACTTGACTCTGTGCGGAAGTCTTGCCTGATGGGTCGGTCTCGATATGGGCGGCAGTGTTCGTCAACTGGTACATGGTGATGACTGGTACCACGAGGAGACAGAATATAATGAAGGTGATGAGGATGTTGACCAGTTTGTCGACGCGAGAGCTGCTGTAGTAGGAGATGTCGGAATCGCTGGTCTTCTTTTGCGCTTCTGGGGTTCGGAAGTATTTCTGCCGAATGTGTAAGTGATTTGACTCTTCAAGTTGGAAGATCGAGTTCATGTACCTGTAGCGGGGGGTTCTCTGTGTTGAAGACTTTCTGAAGGAAGCGGTCTGTTTGCCCTATCATCGTCTCTACGCCACCATCGAAACTCGCCCACTCACGACCATTATGGATGGTGACTATGTCTTCTTTTGTGCGAATAGAGTCAAGTACATCATCCATGAGCGGCTTCTTCTTGAAGCAGTAGCGTCGCACACTGCGGTAGTTGCGATCTGAGGGCCTTTGGAAAGACTGGAGTTCTCTTGCCTTTATGAGCACCTCATCTGTGCGTCAATTAGCTAATGACTCACGACTAGGACTCTCCTAATTACTGCTGACGTATACATACCGTATTCGATCAATTTAGCTTTGATCTCGCGAAGTATGACTCGACGGCTGCGATCAGCTCCTTCGCCGGTAGGCTGCTGTATGTCGTAGTCCCTGGACTTCAGACGACGAGGATCCACTTCATCATCCACTTCATCAATGTCATCAAGTTCTCTTTCCAAACAGGTGATCTCATCCTGCAGATCGAGCAGCACACGTGAATGCAGGTAGCTGAAACTGCGATACAACGCAAAATTTGTGTCGCTAGCTTGAAATGCTGCAAGCCTTGGGAAGCCGTTAGGCGTATCTTCCACTACGTTATATCAGTGACAAGCCATATGAAGACTCTTGAAAATACTCACGTGTCCGTGTGTTGGTCTCAGTCACGAAGAGAGGTTCTGGCTCGGAGCGAAATGAACCTGTCATGCGATGTAAAACCCCAGGCCGCTTCTTGTCATTCGCTGAAGAAATGTCAGTTTTGCTCATATGGATGCCAATCATAGCCCTAGATTGTAATCACGTCGTGCATACGAGCTGGCTGACCGGTGTGAGCCATTGCGCTTCAGCTGATGCCGAGCATCGACCATGTTTGGCGCTGGGGGCCAAAATAGTGGCATGGAGTGACCTACAAGGCTGTGCACTCTCAATGTCAACGTCGACATCACCTGAGGTCGTTGGCATTGGGGCCGAGGTAGTAGGATGGCAGTCACTATTCTCGTCCGCTACTTCGATGTAGGCGTCACCTCTTAGGGTTGTGTCGGTACCCGTTGGAGATACTGGCGATTGAGGTGTCTTCTCATCGGTAAACGTATCCCCGGTCATGGTACGAAGAGGGGTCATGGCGAGGCAAGAGACAAGCGAGACAAGCGTGACAGCGACGAACGAACGGACGGAGAGAAGGCGAGCAAGATATTTCGCACAATCGAATATCACTCAAGCGAGCATTAAAAGTGAGTTGTGGCTAATAGATTGTGGCAACAGAAGGGTGTAAGTAGTATTGAGCAGCGGGAACAAGAAAGATGATGGTCGCATGTGTAAGACTCAGCCCCAACGCCTCACTCACAATTGGCTGCGCGCGTCACAATTTCAGCTGCCTGGTGGCATTCCGGTGAGCTCAGCCTCAGGCAATGTAGCACTGTTCAGGCGCCGGCCCTGAGGTCCCTTTCGCGTGTCCAGCTGCCATCGACCTTTTGTGTGTAAAAGTCCTCAAGCTGATACTCGATCCAGCCATGAGGGCTGCTTCTGCGCGCGTAGATCGTATAGGCAGATCTGGTTTGAGCACCACCGGGTGCTGATGCCCTCTTGCGCACCCTGTCGCCCTTGTTGAAGCGCGCATCCGCCTGGCTCTTTGTTAGAGAAGGGTGCTGTGTTCATAAAAAGAACGGACATACTAGATCCGCGTTTGTGATGGGTGCAACCCCGGACTTGGTCAGAGGAGTTGGGTTTTCGGGTGTAGAGTCCAAATTTTGATCCTGTGCCTGCGTATCAGCCCTGCGTCGCTGAAATAACGGGGCGCGACTCACCTCCACAGCCTGAACAGGCTGATGTTCGAGCATTTCGGTTGCCATGATTACTGGAAGTCTGTGAAGCGAGGTAGAATAGCCTTGTAGGTGATGCCCTTGGGGAAGGAGCAGGCTGTCTTCTGTTATAGAGAGGGCTATTGCTGGCCTCCGTGACCATGTACTTGCAGCAGCCCCAGGCAACACAGGTTCGTGACCGGTATTGATGATAGTCGGGACCCTTTGGGTTTGCACAGCCGCAGCTTGGAATGTTTGCTTAGGTGCATGCAGCGATGCGGCACCCATGCGCCATGGCCCCCTCTACAGGTGTCCTGCCGCTGAGCAAGCCGTCATCGTGAACGGCCATTTACCGAAAGAGGCTATGGCACGGGACGGAACGCTCAGTTCTTAGTAAGACGAGCGTTGGGGGTGCATGGTGGAGGCACTGCCTTTGGCCCCCAATGATGGTGGTGTGATTGCGCGATGCGCTAATTGGCCAAGACCAGCTGCATCTGCTATCTCCGCACTCTTCAAGCCGTGGTGCATGCACCCAATATGGGGGCTGAAGGTTACTCCAAGGCTACGAACTCCATCCTTCAAAATGGCGGGCACCTGCGAACTCTCTCAGCCTCGTACCTTGGAGGCTTTTCCATCAAATGGCTCCTATTCCAGACTCCACGATGCGCGTCGCGAACGCAGCAACGACGACCGAGATAGCCCCTCCTCGCAACGCAAACCCCCTCCCCGACAAAGTCATCAATGCCGACATACGCATACGCTCGATTGAAGACGAGCTTCAGCGCAGCGGACAGACTCCCCCAACCCAGGAGACTCTCGTAGAGAGCACGCCCACCAAGGAACATGGCGACGCGAGTACAGAGTCGCAGAAGAACTGGTGGGCCGAGGCCATTGCCGAGAACATGGATCTGGCAGATGGCTACACCAAAGTCGCAGTGCTGTTGATCAAGTGGGAGGACGGTCTCGACGAGCTCATGACTGGTGACGAGGTATGCTGAGGGGAGACGCGTTGTATCTGAACTGACTGACTGACAATATCAAAGGCCAGAGAACTCGCAACCCTCTTCAGCGAACGCTTTCACTACCAAACCAAGACGGTCGAATTGAATGTACGAGAGAAGCCACAGCACCAGCTCAACAAGCACGTCAGCCAATTCATCTGCGAGCATGATGGAACACAAAGTCTGCTCATTGTCTACTATACTGGGCACGGCGTGTATCAAAAGTCTACCAAAACCTTGCAGCTCACCGTCACTCAAAACCCCGACGAAGAAAAAGGCCTGAGCAAGATAGGCCATGCGAGTTGGAACATGGCAGAGGAGCAGCTCCGTCAGCCAATCGTTGAGGCCGACGTACTGACTATATTGGACACTTGCTACTCTAGCAATCTTGTGAAGTCCAGCCGGCAGGAAGAGAAGAAGTTCGAGCTACTTAGCGCCTGTTACATCGACGAGACGACTGCCGCCCCCGGCCCCAATTCGTATACCCGTGCTTTCATCGACGCTGCCACACATTTCCTCGACAAAGATCCCAAGCGTCCAATATCTACCTTCAGCCTAACACAGCGTATCAATGAAGATAAGAGGCGTATCGATACTCCCTCACATCTCTGGGGCCGTAGCCGCATCCCTCAGCCCAATCAAGAGCACATCTTCTTGACACCCCTCAGTCCTGCCAAAGTCGATGCTTTACACCAATACCGCCCAAGAGCCAATGGGTACTTGACGTTACGATTCGGTCTGCGCGACGCCTCGCTGAATCAAGCACAAATCGATTACATGGCCAAGCTCCTCACAAAGGCATGGAACAACAAGGATTCGATTGGCTTGAGGAGGATCGACTGCATAGAAATGAAGCCTGCTCCGCCACTGTCGCACTTCGAGCGCGTGACATCCGTCCTGCGTGTCAAAGCGCAGTGGAAGAGGGTCATTGCTAGGAACAAGGAGAGAAAGCAGTCGCAGAACGGCGGTGATGCGAACGGGTCGGTGAAGCGCGTATGCGAGGACACAAACGAACTGCCAGATGCCAAGAGGCAGCACTTGGGACCAATACCCCCGCCATCCCCGGCAGTATCGGATGCCTAAGGCGGTGTTTCACCCATTCATTTTCGTTTCCATCATCGCTACTCCTTTGTCTTCAGTCATGTTTAGATCTCGGATACCCCACTGGTGCTTCTTGCAAGAACTACTTTCTATTATCATAAATCAGTCATTATATATCTAATGTATTCGCAACTATGATTGCACTTGATTCGTTGCGGCCAGGCATTTCCATCGGCTTCTACTCGGAGGTTGCCCAAACAGGTGGCGCCACTTCTTGGTCTCACCACCAACATCACGTTCACAAAGATACAGCAGGGTAATGCTAGACACGTAGCACACTATACATAAATGCCTCGAAAATTCCATCTCTCCGGCTGCTGCGTGATACCCTGGTCAACACGTTGCGCTGATCGTTTGCAATGTGGTATAAAGTCGAAGCTTCCGCACGAGGATACGCTCACATATCATCAACATCCAAACCACCACTTCAGCCTATAAATCGCCATCGCAGCCTAAGCCTCATCGGCGTTAGCCGTCAACCAATCTAGTCATCAACATCCTACCACCCAATGGCTGCACCCAGCACAACCGCCGCTACCATGCTGACACCAGACCGACAAAACCTCACCATCGGTCATTGTCGCGCACAACGACAGGCACTCTATTCCCACACCGATCTTGGCACACCCACGCTGCTACAGAAGAGGCCGAAACCCATCATCTTTACCCCACGGGTAAGTGAGGATGAGTGGACGGAAAGTCAAGAAGAACTCGAGCGCTGGGGTATGGGAGCCACCAATACGACGAAGCCATGGTCTAGTCAAGTCACAGCACCAAGCCGTTCGCAAGGGCGGGGTTTGGAGTACGGGGAAGTAATGGGATTCTGTTAGTCAAGAGGAGGAAAAGAAGAGATAAATGAGGAATGTTGTTAAGATTTCATCATGGCAATCGATTGTTTCTACTATCTCTCTATATCAGCTTCTCTCCTACTACTCTTGCTGACTAGTACTTCGCTTCTGCTTCGCGCACTGCACCTGTTACACTTCCCTCCAGCGCGCATACCCTTAGCGCGCTCACTTTTTGACATCGCAATCTATTAATCTAACTATCTCGCGATGCTGGCCTCTCTTCTACTACTCTTACCAACTAGTATGTCGCTCCTGCTTCGCGCACTACAATGGCTACAACCAAATTCAGCGCGCTTGCCCCCAGCGCGCTCGCTCCTCCCCAGGAAGACGTCTCACATCCGCCGCCTAACCACTTCAAGTTCGCTCCTTCAACGATTGCTAGGCAGCCCTGGAGTTGAGCATGCTATATCGTCAACACCGTTCGTCCGTCCCTATCTCTGTCGAACGTCCTCGCACCGCTACATTTCCCTGCTTTACCACCCCTCACTGGTAGCATCAGCTCGGTGTTGCTGTGTACTATCAACGCTCAGGGTGCCAAACGTTCATGCGCCGCTACATTTCCCTGCTTTAACCCCTCACTTGCAGCGTCACCTCAGTGTGGCTGCGTACTGTCAACACTCAGATTGCCAAAGGTCCACGCGCCGCTGCACCCCCCTGCTTTGCCAGGTTAAGGGTGTCTACTATGGGCAAAAGAAAGATCCAACATGACCCATACAAACAAAAGAGTCTAGACAACTACGTCTCGCGCAACACCCGGCCCAGTCTTAGCAAGACTACACCAAAGAGCAAGGAAGCCGCCCCCGCCCAACCACCCAAGCCCATCAAGACTCAGCGGAAACGGCGACGAGAAGACGATGATGACACGGATGCGGCGCGGTCCCCCGCACAGGACACCAGGCTTACGAGAAGCGCCAAAAAAGCGACTACATGCAGGGTCAACCAGTCGACACGCAGATGAAGATGATGCTAGCCTGCACGAGTCCTACATAGCAGGAGCAACAGACGATGACACAGGTAGTGTTTTTGAGTCAGAGAACTACAGCGATCCCGAGGGCGACGAAGAGGATATGTTCCTGAGTTCAGACGACAACGAGGATGAGGCCAGCCAACCTGGGGACGAGGCCGACCAGCCCGATGAAGACAACGAGGACGAGGCCGACCAGTCAGACAACGAGGAAGAGGCCGAACAGCCCGACGAAGACAACGAGGACGAGGCCAACCGGTTCGAATACGATGCCGACCAGTCTGACGAGGCCAGCCAGTCTGACGATGCCGACCAGACCGACGACGATGCCGATATCCACCATGCGGACGATGATGACATGAAGGAGACACAGTACTCCCTCGAGATACCGCCACGCGACCAAGACCTCTTTAATGTTGATGTTACCGCCGCTGAGGTTACATCCATGGTGGAAAAAGTCTTACCTGCGCTGTCATCAAGAAAGATGAAGAACTTCTACAGAACTATCGCAGGCCATCTTGAGAAGTCCCCTCCATTTAGGATCCCGGCGCGCTCTCGACACCCCACTACCTGGTCGTTAGTTAACCCTGACTTCGATTTACTATGGAAGCACTCAGCCGACGGCGAGCGGGCTCTAGACCTCGGCGACCCAGATCTGTTACCAAGATGGCTTAACAAGTCAGAAGACGGTCTTGTAAAGCCAATTGGCTCGTTCACCGACACACTACTACTGATATCCAGCTACCCGACAGCATCAGAGGAAGGGAGTGTGCATAACCGCTATGGCACTGTGGATGATATGAGCAATGTTTGTATGTGGATGCTCTATGCAAAATTCGGATTCCACGTGGCCGACATACGATCGCATGGGGTAATGCATGTCGACATCATGGCTCGACGCCTCGACCAGAATCTGATACCAGGATCTGATGGAGACAAGCTCTTTCAAATCACACTCATTAAACCACTTCAGCACAGTGTCGTAGGCTGGTATTAATAAAGTACAATAAAGTATTCAAAACTATCTAGGTAGAGCGGGATGTGTGTAGCTACTATGCTAACTAGATGAGATTCAGGCATGCTCACAACAAGTAGGGCTAGCGTGTGATCATCTAGACAATCGGATAACTTTCAGATCTAAAATTCTGTAGTCCCCGCCTCATGCCACTGAATGAGAGGATCCTGGGGAAGATAGCTAACCCCCAATGATCCGGATAAAGGTTCTATTATAACTACTCTATGCCACTTATTAAAAGTATCCTAGAGAAGATACCTAACCCCTGATGCGCTGGATTAGAGTTATGTCGCGACTGTCTTATCCCACTTACTAAGAAGACGCGGGGAGGATACTTGGCTATTGATAATGCGCTGGGTGTGGGTTCTTTCGTGACTGCCTCATGCCACTCACCCAGGAGACGCGGGGAAGATGGTTGGCCATGATGCGCTGGATGTGGGTCCTCTCGCAACTGCCTCATACCTCTCGCGACTGCCTCATTCTACTCGCTTCTGGCACACCGCACTCGGGGTATCTAATATTCAAATCTCCCGTACTTTACGCGTTTTCAATCTGTCCTTTACGTTTTCAATCTGTCCCCTACGTGTGCCAGTAAACGCATTGCATTCCCCAAGACCTCGATTACCATGCCGCCACCGCGCTCATCCAACAAAGAAAACTCCCCACCTGCGAAGAGACCCAAGAAGACAGTACTGTCGGCAGCAGCCTCAAGAGCTCGCAACGCGCCTTTGACTGGAGCACTGTCGGAATTACCGTCCCAACTACCTGAACCGCCACCAGGACACCAGACAGCGCGGACTCGATCATCAACAACGAAAGCAAAACGACCCCCTGCGTTTACGGTATTCACCGACAACACCGGAGCGACAGAGCAAATACTAGACGACGCGGATCCCACAACTAGCATCATTGACGAATGCACAGTACCTGACATCGTTGACCGATGCTCCCTAACAGATAACGACCTGTTCAGTGAGCTAACCGCCGACGAAATCCGCAATTTGGTAGAACGATTGCTGCCAGACCTTCAAGAATAGGGTAAGCTCTACTCTACTTACAGCACGTAAGGCGCATGCGTACTAACTTTACCAGGAGTTCAAGAGTTCCTTGCGACCGTCTATGACCACGCATGCACATCGCCGCCTTTCGTTATACCCCGCCGAGAGCGAGATCCGTCCACCTGGCCGCTTACGTATCCGGACATGGACTTCGCATGGGGACAGGCAGTGGAAGGCGAACATGCTATTGAGCTCCCGGACACAATGGACAATTGGATTGACATGAGCGAGAGCAATTTGGGTAAGTTGTCAATGTGAAGTACGTTGGATAGCCTCCAAGCTAATTACGCTCACGCAGTTAAACCTACTGGAAGCCTCCGCGATACCCTTCTCATTGTCAGCTCATACCCCACTGCCAAGGAGGATAGCACAGTTCGTCGATCGTATGGTACCACCCTAGACATTTCAAACGAGTCCATGTTTATGCTCTACGCCAAGCTTGGCCACAACGTATCCTCGATCAGAAACCACGGCGCCCTCCACTTGGACGTGTTCCCCAGGCGAGTTGACCGCAACATTGCACTCGGTCTCGGGAATATCGTCGACCAGGTTCCGACCAATCTCGGCATGTATTGGAGACTCGTGGTTCGTCAGCTCATTGAGCCATCGCATTCCAAACTGGCTCTCCTCGTCGGGTCCGCAGGTGTTGCCACGTACGTCGACTATCTCAAACAAAACAACATCCGCTATCAAATATTTGGCTATCGAACAAAAGCGTGCAAGGCTACTAGAAAGAGAATCATCATGGAGTAGAACAGGTTGCAGATGGAGAGAGAAGCGCAAAAGAAGAGTGAAGGTGAGGCTCCAAAACGGCGAAAGCATGGCAGAATGCCGAAGAGCCTACAGTAAGCTACATACGTTGTACCTAGGACTGCGACGAGTATCTATTCCCAAGTGCCTCTACTATCAACCAAGGTTGTTTGATCCATAAGGTGTGTCACGCGGCAGCATTTAGAGAGAGGTAAAGAGGTAGCAGAAAATCCGGCTGCGGTCTGTTGATACAGCTGTCTGGCGCCTACGTATTCTTGTAGCATAGCACATTGGCTGTATTTTGGCACGTGTATTCTGCAAACTACAATTTCGGCGCCCTCACTTGAAGCACTTCATCAGAACAATCGCCATTTCGTGTTGCTGCACTTTGTGATTCGGTGTTCTCTTATGTCGCGGAAAACGTAGAGCAGGGTCTAGAGAGACGCGTCGAAGTGTTCAGACGGCAGCTTGTTGGTAAGGGTTTCTCCCACGTGTTGCACTTACCAGTCACATTTCTCTTCATATAACAGTGCAGTCGTGTTACGCGCATACAACCTTGAGCGGGATCTTCTTTCTTTTCCATAGAGCTCAATACAACTTCGCATACCTGGGCAACAGTTCCCTGATCGCGCTCTGTTGCTCTGCTCTGCATCAACATCTCAACGTAATACGTAGGTACCTTTGAGATGAAGTAATTATCAGCCAGTTCGTGTCATTTTGGAGCGCAATAGGTAGGTATAGTGAAACTCATTTGCGTGTAGAATCGAAATGTGTCTGACCTGCGCGAGCAGCCGCATCCCGCTGAAGCTCCCTAAGTTCGCCAACGAGAATATAGACAACGTTCCTTCCCCGCCCAAGTTTGTCGCTCCCGTGCGCCCTCTTACACCCCCACTCCCGCTATCGCGACCCTCTCTGCCCTTCACACCTCCTCCGCCTTCGCCTCCACTTTCGCTGTCATCAACCTTGACTAAGCTTTTCCTTGTTCTACAAGTTGAAGATGCAGACCCCAAAGAGCAAGGGAAAGGCGCTGAAGCGGAGGGAATAACGAAGAAGGGAGGAGTGAGTAAGTTTTGAAATCGCGTGATATACTGTAGAGGGTAGGCCTGTAATCACAATCGAAGGATACACGGATTGAATACAAGAAGTGGGACTTGGGAGGATTACATCAAAGTTGCAGTGTGATGGTGATGTCTTCTCATCGGGCTCGGCACGATGCGTGGGCGGGAGATCCGCTAGCGGCGCACTGCTGATTGGTTTCATGCAGGTCCGCTTCAACCCCAGAAATAACTCCCCAAGCCGCGCATCGTGAGCGCCGCTGCCACCAAAGTGTTGCGCCCGTGCTGCTGGCGAGCGCTTCCGATAACCTTCTAATCCTGCACTATGTAGAGCGCGAGCACGTCTATTATACCAAGGCTCGAAACCTCCGGCACCATGGACACGATCGCAGTGGCCCCCAAGGCGTCGGCGCTGGCGTCGCCCAAGATTGTTAAGAATGCAAAGGGCAACATTGTGCCGAGCAGCCAGATGGCGCATATCGCGTATGGATGCGGTAAGCGCTCTGCCATTCAGACTGTCAGAGGAGGCTGCTAACACATGGCAGAGCACATGGGCGAGATGTTTGAGAAGGCGCGCAAGCAGACGCTCCAGCACTACCGAGCCATCCTCCAGAATATCCACGAGAAACCGAGTATAATAGCCCAGACGTACACTGCGCCGGCGGATGCGCGCAATGTAGTGTCGCTGAGGCCGCTGTACCTGTGCCTGCAGTGCCCGAGCATCATGACCGAGGTGGATCGCGATTTGCACTTCGAGACCAAGTCGCACTGTTTCTGTGGGTTAGACAATGCCATAGGAATACAAAGGGCTAACAGGAAGCAGCTGTGGAGTCACGAGACGGCAACATATACTGTGGCAATTGCCAGGACTTCATCTACGACGAGACGTTGGACGTGCTGAGAGTACAGAAGGGTGTGTGGCGACATGCTCATGCTTGAAGGAATCAGATTGGCTGACTACAATACAGGCAAGAAGCGAAAGTACGAAGATAATACCACGACCGAAGACCACAAGCTCGTAATCAGCAACTCGACCTTCCTCCCCTGCCGCGCGATAGGCCTGCGCGGGCTCTATAACATGGGCCAGACATGCTTCATGAGCGTCATCCTACAAACCCTCGTCCACAATCCATTCATACGGAACTTCTATCTTTCCGAAGGTCATAAGCAGACAGAGTGCGAGAGGGACTCATGTGTGAGTTGTGCGCTGGACGAGATGTTTGTCGAATTCCACTCAGCCGAGAAGACGGAGGGCTTTGGTGCTGTCAGCATGCTCATGGGCAGTTGGCTGGCGGGGGAAGCTCTCGCAGGGTACCAACAACAAGATGCGCACGAGTACATGCAGTTCATACTCAACACGCTGCACCAGGCGAACGGCGGATCGACAGACGACTCGGAGGATTGCAAGTGCGTGGTACATCAGGCCTTCTGCGGGAAGCTCTCAAGTACGGTGACATGCGACAATTGCCGTAATGTGACGACGGCGCAAGATCCGTACATGGACCTTAGTTTGGACGTACGGATACAAGGCAAGAAACGGAAGATCAAGGAGGAAAAGGGTGAAGAGACACCTCTGGATTTGAGGGACTGTCTCGAACGCTTCACGGTAAAAGAGAAGCTGGGCTCAGCAGAGTACACATGTCGGAACTGCGACAGTCCGCAGAATGCGACCAAGCAGCTGAGCATCAAGCGGTTACCACCGGTTCTCTCCATTCACCTCAAGGTAAGTACCAAGAGCCGTCCGCGGCATCCCTATACTGACAATTACTCAGCGCTTCGAGCACACAAAATCCACGTCCTCCAAGATCGAAACCCCCGTTCGCTTCCCAGTCAAACTAGACATATATCCCTACACGACCGCGCACAAAGCCGCCATGCGCGCCGTGAAGACCTCCGGCGCACCGCTCTCGAACCACAACGTCAACAGCCCGGCGAACGCCCTCGTATACGAACTGAGCAGTGTCATCGTACACAAAGGCAAAATCGACTCTGGACACTACGTCAGTTACAGCAGGGAGGGTAACGACTGGTTCATGTTTGACGACAGCAAGGTAGTGCTGGTCAGTGAGGCAGAGGTCCTTGCTGCAGAGGCCTATTTGCTATTCTACATGGTTGGCGGACTAGAGGTATAAGAGCCTCCTTGGAGGAAGGTGGAGTTCCGGCAGTTTGGTGTACAGTATCTCTGCTCGGGCATGTTACAGGCCCAAGAGCTGCATGATTGGCGTTTAGAGGGCACCCGGCGTTTGTGAGGGCAGTTGAGAAGCCCTCTTTATCTTAGGATTATCTGGCATACGGGCTTGAACATTGTCACTTTCTCAATACATTACAAGTTTTCTTCCACAAACTTCCACCAGCCTCACTACACAGTAGATCATCCTGACTTTCTTCGAACGCATTGGTGTTCATCATCACCCTTCCCAATCAGGCCGTCCGTCCGATTCATGCTATCACAACCTCTCCACCCGGGAAACTTTGCCGCGGCCAATACCGCCGCACACACACAAACGCGCCGTTTCAACGCACACTTCGTAGGGCAAAAAGCGATCTGAGCAGCACCTATTTTCACCGCAAGCAGGCACAGCCGGTGGCTTTACACCGCTCATCACAGCCTCTTGCAGCAGCCACCCCACTCATGCAATATATCTGCCATCGTTCAATGATTCAGTACTTCGTTGACTACGTATATTAAGGCATCGCTGCCTCGCAGAATGACCATTCGACTTTATTATTTTTTACTTCATCTACTAATTGAACGGCGATTTCGCCTTTGTCGAACTCGAGGAAATATTGCTCCTTGAGCTGGAATCCTCAAACATGGTTTCGATCTGGGTATTAACCGTTATCCCCTTGCCGCTCACAAACTGCTCGACGCCGCCTACTTGATCCGATGGCGGATCGGTGAAGAGCGAGTCTTCTGATCCGTTCGCTCGATTTCGGGTGTCGTGCGTGGAGTGCAGACCGCCGGATATCTGATTCGAAGCCGTTAGACGGTTTCCGCTTGCTTTTCTCCGCGCGGACGAGAGTTCGTAGTGGCGGCCGTAGCTGTTGGCAGAGTCTTTTGTGGTGTTGTTTGTGCCGAGGATCATGGAGCGGAGGGCGGGGAGACAGGTGGCGATTATGGCGATGGCGGTTTCGATCATGGAGACGGTGCATGTTAGCATCGTTTCGTTCCTGTGCGAGTAGTAGGCTCGGACAACTGGCAAAATGTTAGTCTGATTTCAGTTCATCTTGAATCTGATGGGAACATACTGCTGGCAATAACGACGAAGAACCCCAAGGCGAAGATTCCGGCTACACCGATCTTTTGTTTCAGCTTCATCTGAAGCCTGGAAACCATGGTGATGGGCAGGCAGATGATGAACACGTCGGTTGCGATGTTGAAGCAAATGGTGATCCAGTAGTTGATCTCGGCGGCTTTGGGACTGCATTGATCTGCGCATGGTCAGTCTCCACCGTTCGCATGCATGTGGGTCAGGGTTTGCTTTTGCTCACAGGCTGGGTTATTCGACCATCGCTTGTCGTGGGGGAAGCACTGAAAGATGATGTCGAAAAAGATGACGAGGTAGGTGACAGCTAATCCGGCAAGCGTGAAGTTATACACAAGGACCAGACGCGAGCCGGGAGCAGCCAGGCTCTTGTAGAAGAAGACCAGGGCGAACTTGATGGCCCAGAGTGAGGAAACGTAGAGCGTCGATCCGGGGATGATCATCTGCATTATGCCCTTGAAGTTTTCCGGGGTAATTGACGCCATGTCGCCCAGCCCTAGGTTCCACATGTGCTGCTGGATGATGAGGTCCCCGATCAGACATGTCAGAGAGAGTAGGATCAGATAGTCGTCAATTCCGAGGTTGCCCAGTCTCGACCATCGCGCATACATGCGTAGCGCGACAAAAGGCACCGTGGCTACGGTACAGATATACCATGATACCTGTCAACTGAATCAGCACT